CGCAAACCGTCACACCACGACAAGGTCCAGCCTCTTCGTGACGGATGTGGCAACGTGGGTTTCCAGCCAGAAGCTGGGGAAACAACGCACACAACATTCAACAAGGCACTTAATTTGACAGTAGCAGCTTTCATGTGGCAACGTGGTATGAAAGCTGCTACTGTCAAATTAAGTGCCTTGTTGAATGTTGTTTGCGTGATTCCCCCAGCTTCTGGCTGGAAACCCTACAAGAACTGGTACATGACCGACCCCAGTTGGGAACCTGCCATTACTTCCTAGTCGCACCGCTTAGATACCGCTTGTCAAGTGTCGTCTTCCGGTTTTGTAATAGACTGTGGCTCGAACCCCACCTCTGTCTCTCGACTTCCCCTGTCTAGGCTTGCGCAACCTGGCCTCCAGGTGGTATTGCAGCTGGTTGCCAGAAGGGTGTTGCAGCTGAACTATTTCCTTATTTTCTTGTAATTGATGGGGATGTTGGGTCATTCCCACTAATGGTTTCTTGTTCGAGCATGATGTTCAAATTTGCTTATCTGGTTTTACTTTTGGGATGTAGACGCCCTGTTGTTGATTGGTTTTCCTTAGGAACATTCTTTGTATTGTGCTCTCACCCTTTCCTTCCCAGTTCTCTACTTGAACTGCCGTGGCAATGAAGCATCGATGTGTGTTACTGCCGAAGGTGGTGCTATTCTATTGAATCAGCTATCAGCATTTCGTGAGCTTTTATGCTTCTTAAGAAGCCTCAGGCTCGGGTGAACTCTGTAGGTGTTCCTACCGCATCTGTCCGCCCTGTTAATGTACCCTGATTATTATTTTAGCTGTCCCCTTTTCCCAGAGGTGCGTAGTCTCTCCCTACTTTTATTAGGTTTTAGGCGCATTCCACAGTCCCTCAGCAATCATTCGCATGAACTCGGCGTGTGACTAGATTGCTGGATTGTCTTGTTTTCCAAACTGGTTTCGATGGCTTACCCACTCTTATTGTGACACCTACACGAGCAGAAAATGCCATCTGAAATAGATACCCCCTGTACATATTACCATATAGTGTTGGTATGAGGTCCCATCGTGGAGGCTTAGATCTCCCTCCAGACTTAGCGAATTTTCTGAGATTTTGATTGACGGGAGGAAAATAAATGAGATTTGACAGAAGCTGCTCAGAAAATCTATCATTTGATGCCATTTCACCTTCCCAGTTCATTGCCGGCGTACCCAACCCCCTCTCTCCCACAAGCACCCATCGTTTGCAAGGTTTTATATCCGTCAGGATAGTCATATCCCCTTCCGGTAATACTCGCACATCCGTAGACACAGACAACTTGACTGATGTTAAGACCAACTATAGCGCACTCAACGCCCCGAATCTTCATTGCTTTGAACGGTGTGTGCGCGGATGTGCTATGTGCCCCTAATAATGAGTAGGTATCCCCTTTTTCCTATTGTTCTATATTCCTTCTGGATAAAGCCGCCTTCGAGAGAACCTTCCCTAGGCCAAATCACGTATTTACAAGGCCACTAGTACTCATGTCCCAAATTGTATAATACTACTGGTGAAGCTTGTTCTGGGACCTACTCATTCATATGTGCGCCTCTTTGGTTCCTCGAGAGAGAGCCGTGAGATTAAGCCGTCCATTCAAAACGCTCGTATTCGAAGTCCCCAAGAGCACTTTTTGGTCACTTGTGGATAGATTCCTCCAACGACCACTGTTTCTTCTGGTCAGATACGAGCTCTGTCATCCTCCGGTTGGAGATCACGGCCGTCATTTCACTATCAGTGGGTCGTCGTAGGCCTACTGAGCATCTAGCGCTCAACTTTCCGAGTCGAAAATCGTTCCCATGTAGAGTAAACACGCAGCTATAGGTCATCTCTGAATTAGTCCCAAATGGATAGCAGCGAGACAAGTCTTGACAGTGACTTTGTTCGCAGATCGGAAGGCCAGTGTTGAACACTGGTGTTCTGCTGTCGATGATGAACCTGAAAAGTCATGGCATACAAACGTCAAATGGTTCTTGTTGTCAGTTTCGTATCCCTAAAGTGGTCTCATAATTTATCGTTTTGTCACCCGACGCTCGAGCAGACTGTAAATGAGAAAACTTACCAAGAATTCCAGCTTGTGTCTAATGAGTATATTCGCCTTCAATCACGGAATGACAATTCCGATGAATTTTCGGAAAACATTTGCGTAGAACCCTCAGTTTATTTGATATTTCCTAGATATCCCCATCTTCTGGCTCGGTCCCACATTATGCCAATGCGGATTGACGAAATCAGACCAGGACGAATTCTGGCAGTGCGCTCTCATTTGAGTTCGGCTGCTAAACACGGTCGACCACTGATAGTAATTGCGTAGAGCTTATATGATGAACGTGGAGAGTTCCAAAGACTCCACAGTGGTGAACAGGACCCAGCAAAGTTTAGGGATATGACTTAATTGGACGGACCTATGATGAACGTGGAGAGTTCCAAAGACTCCGCAGTGGTGAACAGGACCCAGCAAAGTTTAGGGATATGACTTAATTGGACACCTGATATATATATATATATATACCCAAGTGTGTTTCTACAATGTTTGTACTCGCAGATGCCCTGCTCTTGACTGTTTTCCCCCATGTTCAGTTGGTTCTTCGTTAAGTTATCAATGTCTGTGTTTCTTTCCGCTCTTTATCAGTGCATTCTTGTTAATATTTTTGTGAGAGTTGGTGAGTCTGTTTGAGAGCTGTTGTGCTCCCACAGAGAGCGTTTGCAATGACGTAAGAGCATGTGGTCTGCGGTGCCTTTGTGTTTGCTCACCCACTCAAATTCACTTCTCAACTGCACTGTCCCATAGTGTCCCACTTTTTATCAGTATGCAGAGGTTGCAGTGACGGGCCTACTACACAGTTCGTTTTTGGAAGTCCACCTTATCTGCCTATAGTTGCGAATACCAATCATCATCAACAGCTATTCGTGAGCTCCTTGCGTTGATTGTTCGTTCTACCTGTGCAACATCGGACACATAAGCCCCTACCCTGTGGGAACGTAGTCTGGTTCCACTTTTTAATCCGAACACAGTCTCACAGTCTACCTTCTTTTCTGGTCGGCTCTGGCTTTCATGTTGTTTGCATAGCTAATTATTCTTTGTGCACCTATGACCCCTCATCTTTGCATTTCAGTTCTTCATTCAGCACGTTTATTTATCTGTTCATCCCTTTCAGTGGCGTCTCTGGAATATCCACAGGATTTTGTAATGACCTCTGATGAACACATCCTCTCCAAACAGCCCATAGTTCCGAAGCGAAATAAGTCGGTAAACTGATACGTCAACCTGTTTATTCAGAAGAATCCCACACTACTATCAAAGGAGTTGAAAACTGCCAATAATTTCATCCACAAATTGAAAAATGTGAAGAATGCACTGCGTGTAAGTTTTAATCTTTTGGTGGGATTGTTTTACTTGCTTATTCTCATGAACTGCGGAGCATCAGTTAGTTTTGGAAGCACAATCCACGAGTAAAAGATGTGTTGATGTCACGTTTCATTGCCGGGGAGAAATTTATAAGGCCACAGTGTTCTCAGCAGAAGCCACATGAGTTGATCTGAACCCGAGACATCCAGCCATCACAGTCAGTAGTCTACGGGCACCGTCAAACAATATAGTGAGGTTGATGCCAGTCGTCAGACAATATTACTTCTTCTGGTGTTCGGGTGTAATCATCGACATTGTGTTTTGATTGAATTGTAGACACATCAGCTCACCAAACACCAATGGCTGTGATTCATGTTCTACTCAGATGTTACATTCGAACTCCTTCAGGGTCGCCCGAAATAGTTCCCCTATGTGGGTATTTCTCTTCAACAGGCATACAGTAATGTCAACGAAATGAAGTTTCCGCGTTCTTTCGCCTCACATTTTGGTCGTTTACGAGCTCTACAAGTTATGTTCGAATTGTTTTCTCTCCTGACTTAATTTGACGCAACTTAATATATTGCGAACCTTCGCAATTATCTAGCAGCATTGATTGCTGCTGCACTGGTGTAACTCCAGCTGAGTGGGCCGGTTTCCTTACAGATCGTCATCCACTAAAAGCTAAACTGGTAGATTTGCAATCATCTATTCATAGGGTCTTGATTATTCAGCAAACTTTGATGGATGTTGCAGTACGTCCGAGATTCGTCCAGTGTTGCACGTCACAAACGCCATAAGATATTTTACCCTTTGTCAGGTGATCATCGGTCAACACAGCATTTATGAGTAAACGTAGTTTACCAACTCCAAGTGTGTTTGGTTTTTATAGTTACCGTACTCACTACTGGTTTCATAGTGACTTGAAGTCATAGTCTATCCTTCCTGTTACTTTCAAGATAACCACGACCAGCGTAGCTCCGTTCTGAATGAAACTGACTGTCTTGGTTGCTTGGCCTGGTGTCATTTGGTATTCGTTTCATATAGACTTTCTCTGTGGGTCAAGACAGTTGAAAATGTGTGCCCAGACCATGCTGATCGGGCTTGGATAATATAATAATCCATAGGATGCACTCTTCGTATAAGCGATCGCCTCAACCGACTTCGAAGGTTGATCAGGTATGCCTTCCTCTTCTGGTTCTGACGTATTGTCTCTGATAGCCCCCGATCCCTCCACCCCGACCTTCTGAGTGAAAAATCAACCAAAAAGGCAAGAAACATATCCAAACATTATATATATATATATATACAGAACATAACGTTCTAGTCCATGATCGCAAGAAACAATCCAAACACCAAACATATATATATATATATATACCATTGTCGGCTTGACTTTTTATCGGTAGGAGACTAGTAAAATGAATTTTCACGAGAGGTTTTCCTTGTTACTTGATTCTCTGTTCATATCTTATTTACAACTTCACTTGTAACGATACACCTTTGTTCACTTCTTATTATAAGCAGCTAGTATTCTGTTACGCAGACTGGACTTAGTGATAAAGTTTCTCTCCATCTGTCTCTTTTTTACTTGACGATTTTGCTGCCTATTCTTTTTCGAAATATTCTTCCTAAATGGAATTCAGTGGTGAAGAATGGAGATTGATAAATATCATTGTCTTGTTTGTGCTTTTACTCCATAAGGGTGAACCAGTGGATCTCCATAGGTAGGGTACTCTATTCTGAACACACCCTTCTCGCCCGTTTTTGGTGGGTTTTACTCTGTTGGTCTCTTTACTGACCACCCCCCCCCCTGTAAGCTACTCACTTGTGAATTCGACGAACAACTTCTACAACTCCCCGGTCTTCTCGGAGCACTTACACCAAAACTAGAAGCTGGATGGCAGTCGTTTTCCCTTGGCCCCGGTTCTACAGCAACAGATCAATTAGCTAACGATCTTACCAGCCAGTTGCCACCGCTTATCAGACCCCTGCAGCCCGGTCAACAGGGTTCAGCTGGATCCGTTCCACTGTCACACAGTTTTACTTGGACGAGGCTCCAACCACGACTGGAGTGCAATGAAACGCCAAATGGTGATGGAATAACGGAAAGCCGAGGTTAGTTTGATGAATACTGTCACCCGCCGTTGTACTTTTAACATTGTCACTTCGGTATTTGCCTTCGTATTCCCGTAGATTACCTCAGGATTTAACTTGTACGGAAAACTCTCAGTCTGGATTTAAAGGAACAACAAACACAAATAACAAACAAATCGACGGTACGCTTTCTGATAGCCTCCTCGGTTCCATGTGTTTCAGGAATACTTGACGTACAACTGACTGGTGATATCTTTAATGTCTTGCTCCCGCTTTTCATCTTTTTACGAGATGAATAATCTAGGTGTACGTCTTTCTTAGCCTGTGAAGCAGAAACAAGTGATCATTTGGTCCAGTCACAAAGTGCTCAGATGTGAGCTTGAAAATTTTACCTTATTGAAAATCCTCATAGACCCTATGTCATTTACGCGCCTTTCGAACTTGCCGCCTGGGTAGGTGCTTGTTGTTTATTTTTTACGATCGAACCAAGCAGATATTTGGCCAAAGTGGAACAAACAGGAAATAGCATGTGGTATGAGGAGACTCGGGACTTCTCCAGGTGGATTTCGTCCTGTTAGTGGAGCCAATCTATACTTAAAAGCCGAGAAACGCTGTACAGCTGTTCCATCTTTATTGTGTTCATGAGGAGTGTACATTTCACGAAATTCAGAGGTCCGAGCCAATGACCGTCCGGCCAGTAGCTCAAACACTTGACCGTTTGACCACGAACAGCATTGCGATTAGTTTGCAACTAGACAGAGAATATCGCCACTCATTCGAGGATCATGGAAGCCAAATCAAGTGTCTGCGTGTTTGCTCCATAACGGCCTCTTATATGACCACATCACCTTCGAAAATTCCCAAATCTCACACTACCTACCATCCGTAAGTAGTTCAGAGGAATGACAAATTCACACGATGTGTGAAACTTCCATCTGATAAGTCATCATTTGAGGAGTCGGTCAACACGTGACCACGTGATTTGGCTTCGGTGATCTAAGGGTAAGTGGCACTCTATCCTGTCTTAGTCCGTGATAACCACAATGCCGATCAGCCATTCGTGGCCAAATAGTGAAATGTTCAAACCCTTAGCCGGGTGATTGCAGCCTCGAAACTCCTTGGAGTTTCGTGAGTTGTGCACAGCTGGTGATTTCCAGTAAGGATAAAACAGCTGGCGTTTCCGCATAGACTGGCTTCATTTGCAAGATGTAATCTGTACGAAAAATAGGAAATAGCCTTTGGAACATGTACGGCATCCTTTTCTGAAAACGTCTGCTGGCATTTACCTACTGCCTTGGGGTCAGGCTTTGTAAGCACTTACTTTGGTTGTGCGCTCTAGTCGCCCCCCCCCCTTGTCTAAGTGTTTGCTCGAACTGAAAGTATTTCGGTCCGCCTACAATAAGACTAAAAGTACTGTCGTGTCCTATCGGATGTCGCGGAGTGTCGTCAGCCGGATCACCTTACCCGCTGCATAAAGCAGGTGGGTTAAGCAAAATTTTGCTACTACTGACGCCTGCCTTCTTACATTTTCGTTTATTCATTCCCCTCCCCGGCCCCGCTCTCTACAGTTTTCAGCCCTGAACTGACGAGTTTATTTTCTTTGAACCACTGTCTCTGCCAAATTCTACACTTCCATCGCCAGTAACAGTCCTAATTACCTCGAAATCAATCTTTAATTGCGGCCTCCCAACACGTCGATGAAGCAAGATGTTTCAAACCAAGGAGTTTGGAATGACTGCTCAAAATCCAAAGACAGCCCACTGCCGGTTTAGTTCTTTTTGGTGCCCATCGGGTAGACGTAATGCCCGTACTTAGTGTGCACGGCTTTTTAGTCGATTGTTAATGTTGAGCTTATGTGCTGCTACACGTACTCCATGGTTGTCCGTGGACTTCTGGAGAGGTTGACGCCCTGCTCCCTGCGCGCGCGCGAGTCTGTGTCCTGACTGGGTTCCCTTTATGTAGGTCCCAGTGCGTATACATGGGCGCGTCGGCACATGAGTGGTTGCTACGCTGATTAGGCGGTGCAGACAATCGATGTCCGATGAGTCAGCTTAATCTGACGTGTTTGTGCGTATGAGAAAAAAGACAAGCCTCGCGATCCAGTGTGCGACTGTGAGTTGAACAGTCAAGTATGTGGGTGACTGGGTCGCTACAACCTCTATCACATGCCTGGTTAAATTTTGCGTGAACACTTTGTCCTATCTTAACCCGGTCTACTTAACGTATACCACACTACACTCGGTCACCCTAGTGGAGTCAAAATTCACTGACCTGTCCGAATATCCACTGCATTTTGCGCATCAGGTATTCTGACGAGTACTTGTTAATGAACATGCGGCCTTAGTGTCTGGTGTGGCACGACTGCCGTAAAGCCAGTCCTTGTGTTCGTACCTAATGTGGGCCATTAGAGTGAGGTAAAAAAGAAAAGCAGGGCGAGAGCGGCCTACTGGTGAACAAACTTTATTCATATGGAATGAACCAATCAACGCAACGCATTGAACAGGAATGCAAGGAGAATGGGAGTATAAGTTTGTTTTGCTAGGCTTGTAATTATCATTGACCTCTTTCCACATTACCATGCCGTTATCAACAAGACCTGTGATTCGGTGAAGTTAAAGCTCACTACATTCTGGTGGTGCTGAATTGCGGAACGCAAATTTTACCCCTCAAACTAAGGTAAAGTTCACCATTCCCGATAAACGCAATCGGTATGTGGCGTTCTTGGTGAGCTTGACCTAAGCACTTTGCACGATGAAGCAGTCAGGTGACTTTTTGATGAGGCACTTTACTCCAACCAATCAAATAATGGGACCAAGGACGTATGAGCAGCACACACGTTCAGCAATTAAAGCTCCGCAGAAGACAACATTCATTCAGGTTTATAAGGACGTACAGCACTGACTGGATTTCCTCGTGTACTTTGCTTCCTTGCAATTCGGAACGTAAGTAGTCTTTTTGTCTTTAACTCGCATAAAACGCATTAGCCACTGTTGTTTTTGTGAACCACACCAAATCTGTTCCACTTATCACTGTCCACTGCCATTCAGAGCTTAGACACATCCATTGTTTGTGGACCATTAAATTCGGAACCAAAAATCCTGTCTCAAAACTGACAATAATGGAGGAAAAACTCGGAAAACCAGTGTTAGGAGCAACAACTTTGGGTAAATATTCGAACGGATGGATGAGTAACGTGAAATGTGAGGTCAAGTAGACAATTTTCGATTGGTGGAGTGAGGGAAGGGGGCAATGGGTACTGAAGAGTAAAAAGAGAACAAATGTTTTTTGCAATCCCTGTGTAAAATATGTGTGTGGGTGGTATATTTAATTGGTTTTTAGATGAATTTTGGCGACTTCTTAGCAGAAGAGCATCAGTGCGGGCATTTTGTTGGTTTTAGTGACGTTTACAGTTGCGCTCAGAAAATTGGTATTTTCAAGGGATAGTGAACTAAACGCTACTTGCTCAAAGCGGTGCCGGAATTCAAATCCCTGGGGCTAAGAGACACCGCGCTTCGGAGACTAAGATAACTTGGCTAACACTTGGCGAAAACGCAATAAACATAGGGCTTAGGTATTTAATTATCACAATTTTGTTCAATACACAAGAGACAGTCTGCAAAACAGGAGTCGCAGAAATTTCATCTCAGTCTTATATTGGCGCGTTATCAGCTGGTCACTCTTTGCTACGCACCGTATCATTTCCATATTAGGATCTGGCTTTTAGAGAGCGGCTCACCAGCCATCATAACGTGTGATTTCCCCGAGTCCTATCGTAGACTTTGTAGCAAAATTTTCATATGTTCTTCACTGAATGTTCTCAGAAACTGCCAACTTTGAGTGATCTTGACCCTGTGACAAATACTAATGATATGCTGATAATATATCTTGATTCGCCGTGTTGCATAGAACACTCAGGTGTGTTAAAGTCATTCTCAATCGCTACAAACCTCTCAGGAGCGAAGATAGTCCACTCCTCGGACATAGCAACTATGAAGCCGAAACGCTTTTCTTAGAGGTTTCCATGTATACGTAGAGTCGGCACACTCGTTTTCTTGTCAATATTCACACTAGCTTTTTTCACGCAGAAAGCTGGAATCTTTGCATAATTTTATGGAACATAATAAGCTCACAAATTCGGAATCATCAATCTGGAATAATAACTCCTTCAACGTTATGATCCAGCAAAATATTTTCCTTTCCTCCATCTGATTAATGGGGTTTTTGTGGCGCTGTACCTTTGAGTCAACAGCGTATTGCTCTGTAGTTTTTCTCAGTTGATTCTCAATTTAAAACTGGCGGACACGATGTGAGGCACCCAGCAGAATTCGTCCAAATTTTCTATTCCTTATTCCCGATAGACTAAGTGTTGTTCTGTTCTGAGTAGGGGTCGCATGCGCGACCTGGTGAAAATGGCACACGATATAAAACAAGCTTCAAGTTCCCGCTACACATTTGATGGGCAGACCCCGAGACGGGCCATATCAAAGGTTAGAGACACTGTCAGACATGGCCCAGCCGCGCCCTCAATGGCACTCATGCATCCAAGCTATGGTCTTCAATACATAGCTCCCTTCCTAACCCACACTTAACAGTCCACCTACAGTACTGTATTTACGCACTGATGTATCAGCTCCTGCCTCCAATGCGCCTCTCCAAATCATCGATAAACGAAACTGTGGCAGCTACAACCATTGTACGACAAGTGCGCGGTTATCATAGCTGACGATGATGATGATCCGGTTGCGGTGATGCTTATGTTGACATAAGTAACAGAAACTGTATTCTCGAGGTTTATAAAAGTACTCAGCTGAAACAAGACCGAAACTAACTGGACACGATGTTCATAATCCCCCTGCATCGACCATGTAGCACCTCTAGGTCACAGGTCACTGGGATGACCAGAAAGCACCACTCAGAAGTTTGTTACATAACGCGGACCTGAACCTTGCTTATGTTCAACGAGGCTAAGCGGGCAGATCAGAATAGACCAAAACTTTGCGTGCAAAACACTCTGAAACAAT